TGCATCGATTACCATCAAATAATCCTCGAATATCTGAACACGTACATATTCAGTTTAAGGCTGCACGCCTCAAAATGAGCAAAACTATTGCAGCGATAAAATCAAACCTGAGAAAAATGTACTTAGATTTTAGGAAAGGTATAAAGATTAAAAATTCTAGTAATAATTTTTTACATGTTATGTGCGATTAATGACCGATTTTTCAGTATTTATAACTATATTTCTACTGCGTTACTAACGCAGAAAGGGCTATTTGTCATATTTTGACCTCTTTATAGTAATTTACTTGGGTTGTAAGTGCTATTGATAATGTGTTAATTGCATTCTTTTGGTAACTTTACATTGTATCATAGTTTGGAAACCTTTCTGTTGAAAATGTGCCAGGGTTAAATCGTATACATATACATGCACAGTGCGTTAACTGGAGTGCGGGTATTAGTTACCCGCACTCCAGAGCATGCCCATTGATTGGCTCATTTTTGCTGGGGTTTACATATTTTGACGGCAGAGAAAGGGAAAGCGACAGAAATGTCATATTCAGATGTTCGTTCATTGGTTCATTTTTGCCGGGGTTTCATATTGTGACAACAGGGAACGTGCTTTTATGTTTGACTATGATACAAAAGAGAAAGAACACCTACGCCCCCTCGTACAAATCAGATAGCCTCGTGTTTCGGTGCTCTTTCTATTACATATTATACTGTTTAATACAGTTTCAAATTTTCATGAAAAATAGCATGAATCTGGAGGCGTGCTGCTTTAAAAGTATTCTTTAAAACGTCGCCAATATTTTTTACTTTGAAGTTTAATTTATTGTGTTGCCTGAAATATCTAGATTTAATTTATTTTTGCTTTGATAGTTAAATTCTTCTTCTGTCGGTGCTCCAATGCATATACGTTGAATTACAATTTTGTCATCAACAGACTCCTTCGATGAAAGATTAGTTCATTTACTTTCAAATAAATTTATTTACTCCTGGTGAATTTCTACTTCCAGAGACAGAAATTCCGATAAAACTTGATAACTTTCGTTCGTGATAAATGTAAATATTTTATTATATTTGTTATAGCAGTCTTTAACTAGTAATCTTTATATCAAAGTGCACTTATAATTTTCAATAAGCACTTTTACAATGCAATAATTCATAAACATATCTACTATAAGAACGATGCGGAATTCGCTGATGTGAACTCTAAAGAAACAGATAAGCGGAAGAAAAACATGATTGAATTTATTTGCACTAGATTTATACTAGTTTTGATCAAATGCACTAATGGACTTGTTACAGGTAATGTAGAGCAGCATTATTAATATTAAATTCAATTTCTCAGAGTCTTTATCTATTAGCAGACGCTATCATTAACTGCGATGTATTTTCAGATATAGTTAGCAAGATACTGCATGCAAAACTTTATGTTATACTTCATGTACTTGTAGATTTTCAAGACTAGATCTTGTATGTATATAGTATTACTTTTAAATTAGCAGAACAAAAATGTTGCATAAAACATTTAAATCACATTTCATAATTGTTATCGACTCTGTGCTACTGCAACATTTTTCTGCAGATATAAATATCATCTATCTATTGATTCAATTTTACATTGTTGGTCTTAAGAGTGACTATGTTTTCTCCGAGAATCGCATCTAAAGTATGTAAATGATTTTATCATTCAAGTTTCTCTCACTTCATTGCACGTTCTATTCATTATGCATCTCTTCATACAAAGCGTTAATATAAAGCGATGTGTGTGCGTGCGTTCGTGCGCGCGCGTCTGCATGTGTGCATCTTGATGAATGTCGTACCGAAACAAATAATATTTACTTATGATATTTGTTGTCTTTGTTTTCTTAAAAGGCTTTAGATTTCTGTGTTAGATATGATGTTTCTCAGAATGATATTTGGTTAAATATTAAACTATAGAGTGTCTCTTTGTCTGTAATCATCTGTATAATATAGCAGTATTAGTTCTGACAAACATATTCTCGGTACGTCTGCAATGACATGCAAGGAGACAAAGTTCTGAGCAAATTTGTTCAAATCATATACAATCTTTGATAGCAAGTCAATAATACATTAAGATTTCAGACAGAACCTATGAGAATTTGTAATTAAATCAAATATAGAAATTGATGTTTCAACCGATAAGACAAGAATATTTTCGCTTTCCAATTATACCTCAAGGAAAAAACAATCTTGTCTAAAATTGATGAACTAGGTTTGAAAATGTTAAACTACATGCTTATCAGCAAACGGTTACACATATGTGAAATTAGAATAGATATTAAAATCTTTTCACCATGTGATAATACAAATACATAATTTATATAGGTCCCTATTCGTATATGTACGGTTCAGCGGTAAAATTCAAACCTCAAGCGATAAAAACTTAACTGTACAAAAGGTTCAGTAGATGTTAAAAAGATTGAAATTATAAGCTGTGTGTTGATCATCCGAATGATATCAGCTAATTATGCATAAATTGATAACTTTTGAGAAAATCGCCTCGCAACTTCATAAGTGGGATACATTTTATTTTCATTATGTTTTGTTTTTGCTAGAATGTATAACCGATCTAAGCTTGATAAGTGTCCGCCCGATCTTCAAGCACTGTGACTACTACCCTCGGACATGTCAAAAATTGTACCCTTAAATAATTTAATTTGGTACACTAACTGTGCAAATCTCACGGGTTATTAGCCAAAAAAAGATGAATTCGGAGTATAAAGGTCACTGTTCAGTGGCCCAAAGGAACCTCAACGTACAGAAGGGTGAAGCAATAATGAAAAGGGCAGGTTAGCCCTAATAAGGACAGTTGTCTTTCAAAATATGATAAAAAAGATCAACAAGGAAAGGCGGCGTTCAATGAACGCTACCCCCACACGACCCAGTAACAAGAACCAGCGGCTAGGAGCCCAGACGGACCCCAAACAAAAACAGGACAGGGCATAAGGAAGGGCACGGAAAGGCAAATCACCATAAAGAGAAATAATTTCTAACAGATAAGGAATTCAAAGAAAACAAATAGACGATTAAACAATAGGCCCACAAAGCTAAAGGGCACAGGGAAACGGGACAGAAGACCCAGGGAAGTGGGGGGGGGGGTAAATTAAAGAAGTAAAACTAGGGACAAAGGGGAAAATACTTACCATAGACGAGAAAACAACAAGCGGCACAAGCAAAAGTGTCACCAAAACAGTATGAAACAACATAGACATACACTGTGATTTAAGGCCTCGTGAACTGTAGTTCTCTTCCTCGTCGTCCCTAAATCTACGGTACAGGACCGCTCGCCGCTTTTGAAGCCGTTTTTGTTAGGGGGCTTAATGCACTCATTTATCTTTCTACGCATCCCTTCTAGTTTGCAGGGCTACTCTCATTTGCCTCAATCAAGACATATTGGTATAAGGTCACAAACCGAGAGGATGCTTATATAAGTTGCGGCGTGGTCGAGTGGATAACGCGTCGGACAAGTAATATTAAGACTGACTGTCGGCCGCGTGGGTTCAAACCCTGTTAGGAGCAAGCTGTCGCTTCCTTGAAATACACCCATTGCTGATAACTGGTTGGCTCCAGGAACGGATTGGAGAGTGTTTCACTAAACTTAAAGCTGCAACAAAATCGACCTTAAAGTAAATTCAGTATAAACTAAACATTAATCAGATCCATCCGCCAAGCCGCATTTTTTTTTCTGCCGAAGTCTTGTGCCTTTGCACTACGTGCAAGTACCGAGGAGAAGATAGAGATTATTTTATGCTAGAACATTTTTTACCTTACATAAAACTAGGCTGATTTTTATTTACTTGGCAATCAGCTATAAATTTCACTCAGAGTTGTCTTCTTCAGTTATCTTGAACGATTGTCTAGACTTCATAAGCCGTCACCTCATCGAATTTATATGTACTTGCACATGAACTGTCACTTTGAATACATATCATCTAATAGCAAGTTTTGCGGCGAATTTGACCGACTTTATATATGAAATCAGTGACGAAACTCTATATGTACATATAATATTTGTTGTCTTGATGCCAAGTTATTTGTAATGACTTCCATTTTTATCAGTAATATTTACATGCTTCCATTTGTCTTGCAAGGACATTTGCTTATATATTTATAATGAAACTTGTTAAGGGGAATCACACTCGGTACAGACTGTATAAAAAGCACTGTTATTAAACAAGTTAAAACTGCTAATGCTAAATGAATTGATGATATTCGTCAAATATCTTTAGTCGTGACTTGTCGTCTGCCTGTCAACCAGTAACGTTGCCTTCATGTACAATTACCTTCTATATAAAAATAGACCGATTGCTTGACAGCACAGATATGCCTTTTTCACAATAGTACCAATAAAGAATATGCATCTGTATTTATTTCAAATAATACTGGACAATTATACTTATTGAGAATTAACTAAATATGTAATGGAAACAACCGATTTGACATCTGTTAACTAATGTTTATTTACAGAAACATACCGATCAGAATAATCTTTCCTAATCTTAATCAGAAGAAAAACTTTTCAGGAGAACACCATCAATAATTTTTGAGTAATACACACTATGAAAATATACAAAGGGCAAGATGCAATAAAAGAGTAATGGTTCTTGAACACTGCACTTCCCCTTGCTAAGATTTACCCACGTTTCAAGATGATACTTCAAATACTTTTTAAGATATGCCTGGATGTGAATAAAGCATTACAAATTACAAAGGGCCATTCTGTAAAATTATTCAACAAAAGTTATTATTAAAGGCTATCTTCCTTAAAGTTTAAAGATAATATCTCCAAAAGTTCTTCTGTTATGCCCTTGGCAAGAAAAACACAATGGACATATGGAACAGACGACCAGACAGAGAGACAAACTGATTCCATATATATGCTCCACCACCTTTACAACTTTGTTGCGCTGGGGATTTGGTATTTGTTTAATATGTAAAATAAGATTTCCAGACAATCATTTTAATTGGAATGGACTCATAACAACTAAAATATTGGCAACTATCTTTATTTAAAAAAATATCACAGACATTTTATTACAGTCAAACAAATATTACTTTAATATAAAGTTAATTCAGTGTTATGAATATGTTTAACTACAAATCAATAAAAAATATGCTAAATATTGCAAAGTTTCCTATTTTTATAAAATGTGAAAGATTTTCATGTACCAAAAACAAGGTTCAATTTTAGAGAATATTCAAAGTTTATTTTGTGAGCATATTTAAGCAATTCCATTTGTCAGTATTTACAAATGAAGAACATTTTGTCTAAATGTAAGTCAAGGTGTACACATTTATTATGTAGTTATACAGAAACAGAAATTGAAAAAAAAAGAAGTTTTTTTGGACAAGGAAAAAATGATGCTTGTTTGACTTGATTTAAACTGATACAAGAAAACAATGCACATAATGAATATACAGAAGCTCAATAAATATAGACACAGTAATCAAATAAGGCATGGATCTTGAAGTTATCAAAATGTCTCTTGCTTAATTCTGCTTCATAGCCATAAAAATGTATTTCATTAGACAGGTCTCCATGCAAAAACATTTATTGCTACTTATAAGGCATCTTGATGTATATTATATGGGGAGACGGGATACAAATTAAAGCATCCAATTTCTTACGACTGTTTACCAATCCCAAACCTGCTATATTGAAACATCTATATTTCCCTGGATAAATCAAAATCTCACAGCTAGATCTGGCTAGACAGTAATATTTGCACAGTAAGCACATTTTATCTTTACATGGTACTATTTTTGACAACTACCAGTAGACATATACCTACATAATATATTCGTATAATTACATTGCCAGGAAAAGCAAGTAAATTATGTATGGAGTTTAACTTTCAAAATAGGATTATCATGGTGGATATCTTTCTTCTCAGACAGGGGTATGAATCTTTAAATGCACGTAAAATGTGCAAAAGAAAGCTCTTGTATCATATATTAAGTAAACTAAGTTTTTTAAAGATTTGATGTTTGGTTCATGAAAAATGCGGTTTAAAGTTAGCTTTTTATTCTCCACTCCAGTTGGTTTACTTATGTGGTACTATGCAGTAAAACAACAAAAAACAAATTCAGAGAACAACATCTAGAATATCTTACATATGCCAATAACAAACCAAGAAACTTTTTTTTCCGACAAGATAAATAATGACAAAATGATCTAATACAGAAAATGGTGTAGAAGAGATATGTTTCACATCTTATTAATCTATGTCTTATTATAAAACTTTATAAATTCAAAGCAACATCGTTTTTATTTTATCAAATACATTTCAAAACAATATACTAAGGCCACCACACTCTATTGACAACAGCATCATCATGGCTCTGTAGCATCATATTCACTTTAATTATTACCATGATGATTATCTACACATCTTGATCATCATCAGTGCCATCAAAATCATCATCACTTTCATCATTTTCCTGCGTTTGTGGGTGAGTCTTATCTTCCTTTAGTAAAGGTGTCTCTCTATCTTTCTCCTGTAATTAAAATGTTAACACAACTTGAGATATAAATCCTTAAGTAGCCATGATCTTATATATTACTACAGGAATTTTCTCAACGATGAAAGTAACACTAAAGTGTTGAAGCTTATGAATGATGGAACATGTTCATTAAGAAATGTTTATCTCTGAATTCAAACAAGCTATAACAATTACAGAACAAAAAAGCAGCAGTTTAACCCATTACTTCATATACACGCCTTTTAACGCCTTTTTCACCCCCCCCCCCTTTTTGTTGTCTCAAATGATGAAAAAATGCCTTATTTAGGCCCCAAACACTTGTTTTTGTTTGAGAAATGTTGTTAAAAAAAGTGACCTCTTTTTCGGCGCGGCCCCCCAACCAAAAGATACAAGAAAATTTTGGACTTGTGAGAGGCTGTAAATGACCCCAGATTGATCATAAGGTAACGTGTAACCAACGCTGAAAAGCATTTGACTCTATCTCAATCCATTGAGAAGTTGCAGCACTTTGAAATCAATTTTGATGGAAAAAATCAACGCAAAATAGTGATTTTTGGCAATTTTGAGATGTCCCCTCGTTGCCATGGTAACAGAAAATTTAAGCCTGAGCATGTTGTTGCAAGGGCAATGGTCCAGTCAACATTTGTGCCAAGTTTGATTAGTGTTGAAGCAGTTTTTATAGTATTATAGCAATTTGAACTTGTAACGGGAGACTTTTCAATGAAAACAGCCATTTTTCACAAAATGCTCATGAAGCAATGGGTTAAGGACAATATAAGAAAAAATACAAATTGACTTATTCAATGAAATTTGTTGTGAATCATTGAAACAGACATTCATGCTAAGTAATATCAAAATTCGGTACATCAGTACTGAGGATAAATCATTTCTTAAAAATGCCTATTTGAAATTCACAAAACGTCTAATAATGCCACAATCAGATTTTGTTAAGATTTAAAAAAAAAAACAACATGTTCTTGTTACAATAAATATACATGCTGACTTTCATTACAATTCAAATAACATAAGGTAAAAATACAAAAACCTGATGCATTTTAAAATTTGATTCATCCTCAAATTCCTATTCATATAAACATTTTGACAAAATTTCCAAGAAAAATTGCACAGTGATTTTCAGATATTGATGTATAATTATAGAAATAGCAACAATTGGGGTTTAACTGCCTTTTACTTTATTATGTGATATTTTTCCACATAAACCAGTGAAAATTTCCATTTAAACCAATCCTTCTTTTTTCATAACTATAAAATTATGGACAGAATGGAGCCTATTAACGACTGGATGTAGGCCCTCAGACCATACAAAGCCATTTTAATATTTACTTTTATTATATACTTATAAATGAAATTAATTTAGAAATAGTCATGAAATAGAATGAGTATTCTTAGTTTCCATATTTTCACTGTAAAATTTAATTTTCACTTCAGTGAAACATATTTTCTGTATTTTTTCTGGTGTCTTGCCAGACTTCTTGCAAAAAGTATATAAAAACAGAAAATTCAATGTTTTTCTATCAATACAGGATTTATTTTCATCTTGTGGTGTGAAAATTATCATATTTCACTTATGGCTACTGCCACTACTGAAATATTTATTTTCATACCACTTGAGGGTACAAATTAATATGATTAATAAAGTGATGAGTAATTAACTGAATATATTCAATAAAAGTCATGTTATACATGTATACCCAATCTCATAATTTTACGTTTTGCAAACCCCCAGCTATTGTTACATCTACTTAATCACACACAAGGTTATGGCTAATAATTATACTTAAAACTGAATTAAAAGCTTCATGCATTATTTATAAGTATCAAAACAACTTTATTGCCAAATTTCAGTCTGAAATAGGAAGTAAAAAGAATGATGCAACTCATATTAAATAATTCAATATTGTTTAAGATTAGTTTCTACGATGGAAAAATGTAAGAAAAAAATAACTTTATTAATCATATAAGACATAAAACCAACATGACTTTTATCCTTTTTAATGTTGAACTAAGTACATGTAACTCTAAATTAGTCTACTCTATTTCAAATGCCTCAATACATTCTTTATAGTAAACATGTATTATATGTTATATATTTTACACATTTCTGACTTGAACCAATGTAAAGTTTTACATGTATTAACATATTAAAAACATACATACACACAGACAGACAGATAAAAGTTTACCATTGGGGTTACCATCTTGTGCTGTGAGATAAGAAGCAATATAATACACTGACAAGCTGTGACAGTGAAAACAGCAAATTTAGTGAAAAGTGAAAATGATGGAGTGATTAAGTATAACACCTGGGGCCAAGGTTATAAAGAAATAGTCTTATCTCAAACTCAGATCCCAGGTATTTGATTGGTTAGAAACAGGCACATAATTTATATTGTTTAATTGGGTTTTACTTCACACCGACACATTATAGGTCATATGGCAACATTCCAGCTTTACTGGTGGAGGAAGACCTCAGGTGCTCTTCCAACTGTATTATTTCAGGCACGAACATACACCTGAGTAGAACCACCGACGTTCCGTACCGACGTTCCGTAAGCTAGCTGGATAGGTTCCTCACATGAAAGAATCCAAAGTCCCTGCCGTATTAGAACCTACAGCGGTGAGGGGCAAGTGGTTTGAAGTCAACAACCTTAACCACTCGGCCACAGACACCCCCGGCACAGAATGTGAATTGACCAATAAATATCCTGATATTCCGTTTGATATCAGTAAAGGTTTTTATAAAACTTGTAGCTGAGCCCCTAAAACATTTTTCCTTAGAGCTGTCTCAAATCTCAAGATTTTCATTGGTTAGTGCATAATATTTATGCACTATATATGTCCTGAGATGCGAGTTTGAGCATGGAAAATTTCTTTACAACCTTGGACCCTGGTTGTTTATAAAATATTAGTATTTATATTGTTTCATATAAGTTAGATTCTTAGTTAAACTGACAGTATTCATCCTTAGTGTGTATTTCAAGCTTTCGTTCAAATAAAAAAAACATGTCTGCGCAAGTATTGCATTATTTTCAACAAAAGCATACATCTTTGTTACTAGAATCTTTGACTTCTGGTAAGCTGGATAGCTCCTACACATGAAATAATTCTATATACATTGTAGTTTGTGTGTTTGTTTGTTAACTTACTTTTTATGCCAATTTTATCACATTTCTATTCATATCTTAGAAGACAGTCCACCTAAAATGCTTTCTTTGATAACTTAAACCAGTATTTATCAATTTCTCCACCAAAGCTTATCCCAAATGAAATAAAAGCAAAGCATCCTTGCCATGAAAATAGCTGTTTTTAATCTCCATGTTCTATTAAAAATATTTGATGTAACACATATAATTCTGCAGGCATACACACAACAATTTTCTAAAATATAGGTCAAGGGAAAGAACAAGCTAAGCATTTCCAGTATACATCACTTTTCTTAACTCCCTTTCAAATTTCTTGTTGAAAGAAACATCCAAACATCATGTAATAGACACAATGTGCAGAATTATTACCTTAATATTCACTATGTTGCTGCAAAATATTAATACTACTTTATTGATTACAAACGCCTTATTTCAATAATTTCTGATGCATTTGTAATATGGAAGCAGCAGTAAATTTAATTTCCATATTATTTTTTCATTTATGGCTCTGGTATATATGTTTTTGCAATTCATCATCATCTACTCTTAATATAGTGTGCAACAATATATGATCTTTTTTACTTGGTTTTAGTCCTGTAAAGTTTAGTTTAAATAAAATGCTAACACATAATATTTATGGTATTGAGCCAGCATAAATCATTCCAGGCAACATGTAGCATAAGGATATATCAAACAACATTCCCCAAGCTAACTAGATACCATCCTCAAAAATTGATTTAAATGTTCAACATTTTTTTCTACATTTGCATGTAAATATTACAATTATTAGGTGAATAATTTTTGCATGTAATTATTACAAACATTAGGTTTTTAATAATAACTGATTATTAAAGCAAAAGGTAAAAAAAGCATGGAACATTAATCATAATTTAAAAATTGTATATCTAGCATTGTGACAGGGTATAAAGGTTCAAACTGAAATGAAAGAAGGGTTCACACAATTAAAAAAAAAGGTACAGGAAAAAATTAAATACCTGAGCTATGGTTTCTAGAACAAGAAATCATTCTACAGTAAATAATTGCTAAATTTGTTGACAGATTTTAAATAGACAAAATAATATAAATGTTTTGTTTTTCTTTTCATTTAGAATGTAAGAAATGACTAATCTGTCTCAGGTTATTATACCTACCATGCTCTACATCTTATATCAAATATTTAGTTTTAAAGTAAGGTAAAGTTACAACACTTTGTTTCAAAGTAAAAATTATTTTTTTAAAGGAATCAATTTACAATGTAATGCATACTAATTTCACATCCAATCTTGAGTTATAAGTAATAGGTTATTAAACAAATTACAATTTATTTTTCACTATACTAATAAACTAAACAAATGCAAAGCAAATACTGCTTTCTTACAGTAATGAATGGTATTATTCTTGAAAAATCTAAAACTGTATGAAACCTACCAAGATCAAAGAGTACATTACAAATAATAAATGACTTCACAATGAGATGTCTATCTAATTTACAAATATATGTATTATTTATTTACATAATTATAACCATAAAATGTTAATAAGCTTTGATAGCTCAATGAAGAACAATTTCCATTATTCAAGTTTTCAATTTATATTACAAGTTTCCTAAATCATTCAATTTGAATGTTTGAAATTAATATTTTAATACACAAATTTAATCTTTAAGACTTTGAGAAAAAAATGAATATTTTAGCAACCTTAATACAAATTTTGTTCAACCTTGAGTCTCTAAACAATTAAATATTTTATATGACAATTTTGGTATTCATCTCTGTGGGTTCTTTTTTTTTTTTTTTTGAAAATTCAAGTTCTTTGAAATAAATGTTAAAAAAGATTCTGAAATATTAACAATTTTCCCTCAGATCACTGAAATGAACCACTCCAAAAAATAAAAAAGGCTAAAGATAAAGCTTAACATAATGCTTGAAAAATATACAGAATACTATTCATTTCTCTATCAATGTCTACTTAACTTAATATTTTAACTAATTTAACTCTCACAATGACAACAACAACAACATCTACATGTTCAAACAAACTAACAGTATTTTAAACTATAACTATGTGCCATCTTATGTAATGGGAAGCTGTACTTTTAATAAACAGATGTTAACTAAGCAGATGATTTTAACTTACCCTCAGTCCAATAATTTTATCACTAAGTATTCTAAGATCAACAGGATTTTTTGTGAACATAAGTTCCTTGGTAAGGTTGTTAAATTCTCTGTTTGTATCTCTCTGTTTCTTCTCTAGTTCATAGATCTCCTGGTCTGTCTGATCACATATTCTGTGTAATTGATAGAACATATTGAAAGACGGTTAGGTTCAATACTAAATTTATTGAGTTATGCGAGCCTTTAACGCTATATTTATATACAATGAAAATGATGTGTTCGTTTTTATTAAATGGCTTTATTACACTCCTATGCCATGGTTTATGTGATAAAAAGATTTAAATGGTTTCAATAAATTTTCTTATAAAACAAATGGCATTCGATCAATGCAACAATTACAAAGACATTTACACAAATTGTAGTGTAATTAAGATATGTTATGGTAAAAATGTTAATTTGTAGGAAATAAATCATGGCTATGTTTATGTGTTTAACTAACCAATCATTCAAACAGCACAACCAATATAATAAACACACAATGAACAACAATAACTCCCTCATATGGGCAAGAAAACATGTCCTTTTAATTCACAAGACCCTATATCATGAAAAATATTTGTAATGCAGGTTCAATACCTTCAATACTAGTTACTGCCATATATTTCATAAAATTGGCATAATTCCTGCATTATTTTTGCATTCCAGTGGTATAGGATATACAGTATAAATCATTGGCTGTAATTATGATATGAATTCTTATTTACATAACATAACCGGACCAACAAACATCAAATCATATTTGACTAACTTTCACTTAGTTTACTTACTTCTGATATTCTTTACTGAGAGCATCAGTCATGGCTAGTGTATTTTGTATCAATTCTTTATAAGTTGGTCCAGGTGATGGTAGTTTAACTATCTCTGTACGTCTCACTTTCTTCCCTGGTTGATGAAGATCCTTCAGTTTACGCAGGTGAAGATAATGTGATATCAGAGGACTGCGACCTTGAGTATTGAACTTAACTCGTTCATACGTAGGTCCAGGGCCAATTTGATGTGACTGTAAAATATATGTAATATATATAAAAGCAGCAGGCTTCCAGATTAATGCTTATTTTGATGAAAATTTTGAAAATGAAATTAAATGTATATTATTGTATAGTAACCAAAAGGTCATTTTACACATTATCAATGGCACTTACAACCCACGTTTATTACAAAAAGAGGCCAAAACATGCAAAAAAAGTCCTTACTGCGTTAGTTACGCAGTACAAATATATTTATAGATACTGCAAAAATCAGCCAATAATCTCACAAAACATGTAAATTATTACTTGAATCTTGAATCGTTTTACTTTGCCTGAACTCTTTGTACATTTTGTCACAAGTTTGATTTATTAAAATATTTTTGCTTATCTGGAGGCATGCTGCTTTAAAGAAATCATTTACAAGGTTTCAAACTTGTTCATGTACATCAAAATAAACATTATCTAGCATATCTGGCTAGCTTATTCCATGAATAATCTAATAAATTTATCACAAAATTTAAAAAACTTCATCTTTATGATAATAACTAGTTGTGAATAGGAAAAAAACAGTGACCTTGAAACCTAGTGCTTTTTCTGAGAAAAACTTGAAAAAAAAAATAATCTGGAGAAAAAACAACACCACAAAAATCAATAAAAACAAAGTTTTATAAATGATTACAGCTACAGGTTAAAATAGGCTGTAGGTTTAGTCATGAGACTATGAAAAAGTAATTATGTGCATATCTTGCTGACCTTCTGAATGATGTCTGTTTGATTTATGATTATACTATAAATGGAATAAAATAATCTGTCATAATTAGTCAAATAGGGAATAAATATTTACCTCATGTCTTTTCTTGTGGTCTGTTCCAGCTGTGGCCAGTCTTGATTGAGATATTGTAGTTGGAACCTGTGATGAGGCATAGGTCATTCTAGTCAGGTCACGAGTCATTCCAGGGGGAGTAACTCCATATGATACCTGATCTGTTCCTAGACGATCTACCATCTTCGCAAATGTATCAACATCCAGTGAATAGTCCACTAAAAAAAATTTGAAGTTGTAACTTAATTTAGAGATATGTTTAATACTATATGTCCATAATATTAGAAAAACAAATATATTCTACTGAGAAAAAAAAGTTAACCATTTGAGATAGTTACCTAGGACTTCCAATGAATTTTGTCATCTTATCACATGAGACTTAATTTACCATGAATTATTAAAAAAAACTGTGTTTACCTAATTTCACTAATCTAGAACACAACAGACATCAACTACAGACATACTATACAGATGGACTTAGGTATTCAGCTCTTGACACTATTATTTCAGAATTCAAACACGAGAAAACAACGAGTTGCATGTTCATAAATTATTTCAAACACAAATGCACACCTGATTAAAACCATTGTCATTCATTACATAGTTGAAGAGCTTCCTTGTCAAAAGAATTTATATAATTATCAACAGTGCAAGGAAAAATATATAGATACTTGTAAAGTATACAAACATTTTTTATTTAGTGCAGCAGCTTGCATCATCTGCTCGGCAGTTTTTGTGTTCTCTTTCTCGAGACCTTTAGGAGGTTTAGACTGTAATCTTCGTACTTTCCATTGTTTGTGAGTTCCTGGCACAGGCTTCACACCTAGTCAAAAAACAACATAATTATTTGAAATATTTTTCAGTGGGTTTGTGCTGAATTATATACATGTAGATTATAGTCACCTCAGTTCTGTAACACGTACTGTCCATATATTTTTTGACAGCTTTTACTTTCTATAATGCAACAAAGATGTCATGAATGTGTTTTAAATTCATACAATTTTTTAATAAACTTACCAGTAGTCCATTCACTAATGGTGTTGATAAGGTCTTGTCGTAAACTATCATCAAATTTTGACCTTGACTCTGGGAAGGCCTCCCAGTATGCTGAAAATACTGCTTGAGCTAGACAATCTGGATACGCCTAAAAATGATAAATTACTGAATTATTATCAGCTATTGAAAAGGTCATATTGACACTTTCCAGTATTACTTGAGGAAGACCTGAAATGCCCCCCCTGTGCATTATAACAGGCACAGACAGAAAAGAGTAGAATCACTAACTTTCTATATGCAAACTTTATAGCCTACACACCTGAGACGCACCTGGTTTCAAGTCAGTGGCCTTTACAATTTGTCATGGAGTTAAGTGAAAAATAAATTATAGTGACAATAAAAGTCTACAGTATTATTAATCACAATAAGACTTTGTGCTGTATGTTTTAGTTTAAATAAGTCATACTTTCTGTTGAAAAGGATTATGCAAATCAAAGATCAAGTACAAAAGGGATCTGACATGTTCTTAAAGACCATAAAAAAAACTGTGCAGTCATGAAAAATCAAGAGGAAGTTATATTTCTACTTGAAGAAGACTATCACAAAATTTATTTATTATGAAAAGATCATAGATGCCATGTGAGACAAAAAAAAATAAACAAAAATAACATTTTGTTTTTATTTGGTTTTACTTCACACCAACACAGTATAGGTCACATAGCTGTTCCAGCTTAACTGGTGGAGGAAGACCTCAGGTGCCCTTCCATGCATTATTTCAGGCACAAACGTGCACCTGAGTAGAACCACCGACGTTACAAAGACAAAGTACTGCAAAAAGTTTAATCATAAAGGTAAGTGCTCCAAAATGTTTAATACTTCTAAATTGCCCTTTAGGCAATAAGGGCGATGATTACTGTTTGCTTAAGTTTTTGACTGTCAAAAGACAACAATATAGTACCATTAGAAATTTATCCTTGACATCTTCATTTATACTTGTAAACAAAGCAACATAACTGTCAGCAATTCTGTCATACAACAAGTTCTTGTCTATTGGTTTACTGGTCTGCAAAACAAGAGGGATAGTATGTGATATAAAACACCAAACAAACAATGTGACAATAATATTAGATTACAAGTCATTTATTGTGATGAGTACTTTATTTTTGGAATGGAAATCAAAACGAAGATAATATAAAAGTATTGCAAAATGTTCTTTGAGTTTGAACTTATTTATTCAAATAAGATATCTAAGTCATCTGCAAATCTATCTTTTTTCAGGATAATGTATGAGAAAACATGTTATCTGACCAGACTGTATAGACCTTGCTCAAGCTCAGGTCTGACTTAAAGCACTAGAGACATAGGTTTACTACTATCTTCAGTATTATATAAAGGGTTAATATGTACTTACATCAAACTTATTCAAAAAGAACCACCAGAATGTGTCCTGCATCACAGCAACAGAGGCCTCTGACAAAAATAACTTCTTCCAAAACTTCTTAAACCCAGGCTGTCAAATAAAAATATTATACCTTAATTAGTAAAATTTTACTCCTGTTTTTCCTAATTTCAAAAAAAAAGCCCTTAAACAACCATAAACAAGAGGACCATGATGGCCCTGAGGTTGCTCACCTGTATATAGGCCCCCGGAGCAGGGCCAGTTTAAACCCCAGGGCTTTTATTTTAACAAACTTGGAAGAAACCCATTAGAAGATGTTTCATGTTAAGTTTTTACTACACACATATAATGAAAAACAATGATCTCCCCCAGCCCCCCCCATCAGGGCCAATTTTAACCCAAGGGCTTTTATTTGAACAAACTTGGTAGACACCCATAAGAAGATGTTTCATGCTAAGCTTTAGCTCATTGGGTTTTTTTAAAAGAAGATTTTTTTAAGTTTTTACTATACACATATAGTTAAAAACAATGACACCCCTGGGGCAGGGCAAGTTTTGACCCCAGGGGTTTTATTTGAACAAACTTTGTAGACATTTACTAGAAGGTGTTTCATGCTTAATATCTAAACTCTAGCTATTTGGGTTTTTTTCAAAGAAGATTTTTTCAGTTTTTGCTATACACATATAAGGAAAATCAATGACCCCGGGGTGGGGCCAATTTTGACCCCAGGGCTTTTTTTTTTTAACAAACTTTGTAGACACTCACTAGAATATGTTTCATGCTCAATATTTAAACTCTAGCTCTTAGGGTTTTTCAAAAAAGATTTTTTCGGTTTTTGCTTTACACATATAAGGAAAATCAATGACCCCCGGGGTGGGGCCAATTTTGCCCCCAGGGCTTTTACTTGAACAAATTTGGTAGAAACCCATTAGAACATGTTTCATGCTAAATATCTTAGTTCTAGCTCTTTGAGTTCTTTAAAAGAAGATTTTTTAAGTTTTTACTATATGCATATAGGGAAAATCAATGACCCCCTAGGGCGGGGCCAATTTTGACCCCAGGGCTTTTATTTGAACAAACTTGGTAGACACTCATTAGAAGATGTTTCATGCTAAATATCTTAGCTCTAGCTCTTTGGGTTCTTTAAAAGAAGATTTTTTAAGTTTTTACTATATGCATATAGGGAAAATCAATGACCCCCTGGGGCTGGACCAATTTTGACCCCAGGGCTTTTATTTGAACAAACTTGGAAGACACTCACTAGAAGATGTTTCATGCTAAATATCTAAGCTCTAGCTCTTAGGGTTTTTTAAAAGAAGACATTTAAAGTTTTTTCTTTCGGTTGCCATGGCAACCAGTTCTGCATGGAATTAAATTCTTTGAACAATTTTGAAAGGTGACCACCAAAGGAACATTCCTGTGAAGTTTGGATGAAATTGGCTTACTGGTTTATGAGGAGATGTCATTTAAAGTAAAAGTTTATGGACAGACGGACGCCGGACGAAAAGCGATCACAAAAGCTTATCCTGTCACTTTGTGACAGGTGAGCTAAAAAGAACAACATAATAACAATGTAATGACTGGCATCTGTAATTTGTAGCTTACATTAAAATCCTGTGCTTTAGTTACTCTATGTAATATGGGTGGAGATTCTAGTTGCCCTGGTAACTCTATCAATTCACCATGTCTAAAACCAGGGAACTGACAATACTCTAAACTCTTCTTTCTGGTTTCCATCAGGGAGTCAACAAAGTCCTAGAAAATATGTACATAAAAGTTTCAAAACATTTTTTATGCATATTATTTCCTTTAAACATTTACATTTTAATCATTAAAAAGATATAAATAATAAATTTAACTAATATAAAAAATTGGCATGAGATTTGATAAATTTAATAACCAATTCAATTCAGTGAAGTTTAACAAAGATTTAAGTTAAATATAATTTGTTTCAATATAATTTTCATTTGTTTTTTTTTTACCTAACTTTCTCCATGCATAGAAAATCAGTTTAATTTAAAAAGGATAAAAATGCAGTCATGTACAAAATATAAGAACCAACTTTGCACCTGCAGCCCCAAACTAACAATGATTAAAAAAACTACAATATTTCAATATCTACTCTTATATATGATAACATAGTTTACATGTATAATACTAAAACAAAAATTGATATGAAATTTTGCAAGTGTAAATTTTACCAAATAAATATTTGTGCATAAAAATAGCCATAGCCCACAAAAAAACAACAATTTCTTAGACAATTTATATACATTGTTCAAACTGGTAGATTTTCTGTGCTGACCCATAAGTGTCAAGGCTCATATAAAAGTAAAGAGGACTACTTAGATATATATAATATTGTAATTAGAACACTTTTTAACAATGTATTGTTTTATCTCATAGTCTGTCTGTATTCTTAATTGATTAATTTTAACCTTTTTTCTCATCCACAATCTCCACACTGGCCAGAACTCTTTTTTTAATTTATTATTTTGGAGTACAAAATATATCTGTTTCTATTATATCTACATTTACATAAATAAAATATCAAAAACCCATATAATTCTTATTTTTGCTAAATCAAACAAGCAAATAAACTTTTTTTTATTTAAGATGTCATGCATTTTAACAAATTTATTAAATTAATGGATCTAATATCTGCTGAAACTAAATATATAAAATAACAGTAAAAATTGTCTCTTTACAAAAAAAAAAACAGGTGCCATTTCATCTCATACCATGTATAAAAATTACTATAAACCCCTCAACCATTCAAAACATTATATCAAAATATAGTCCATCAACATGCATAAAATCATCTAAACTGCTGGTGGAAAATAGAGAACTCATAGTGCATGTACAATACCGCAATAAAATCTTTGCGAACTCCTTCTTTTTCCATTCCACTGGTTAACTTGGTGATCATACTTGACTAAATACAATGGTTATAAAACACTGTTATAATCTACTTCCAGATGACCTTTTCAATATAAGGTCACATGCATAATAATGTGGTGATTGAGTATCCATCAATAAAAGGCATTTTATAATGATCATTCACCAAAAAGAAGTTGTTTTTTTGTCTGAACAGTTGTCATGTTTTGACAGATATATATTCTGAAGGATTATACATTTTTGAAAGTCATTTTTGACAACAAAACAGCACAATTATTCACATTAAAGATTATTTATAATTTACCCAACAACAAAAATTCAAGCAAAAAAATTGTTTCTTTTTATCCAAGTTACGCAACATATAATAAAATGACAGAATATTTCATATTCATGTATGAATAATGACATTCCAATTTAAAGTATTAATTACAAGTATAAGCATTAGAAAAAGTTCCACTGCATAGATTTTACACTCAAAATATGTTAAATAAACTGAAAAATTCAGATGCATCATAAAAATGTATAACAAATTCATCTATCAATGTTAAAAATGCTGTGAAATTTGTATATACTTCTACAGGAAAGCCCTTGTCATTAACCTTCTACATATGACAAGGTCACATGGCTACATCCAGCTCACTTTCAAAAACAAGATATACTCCATAGTTAAAGCCTTAACTGGAGCTTATACACAATAGTTCATTTCTGAGAATATCTGTATGTACCAGGGCTGGTCGATCTAGTGATCAACTTAATGATTTATAAGTCATTAGAAAACCTAAAACACTTAATTCAAGTACATTGATAATGATGTACAAATAACTTATATATATATATAGTACAAATTTTTATCATCTTAAATAGTATAAATCTGGGACAGAAAGATACTTTTTTAGTCCCAGTGTAAATCAAATGGAGATAATTCTTTAAGAAAGTTTTCATATATATGCTAAAGATTTACTTCCCATATATAATACAGTGAAAGTTGAGAAAACCGGACGGCTTTCGGACCGAGGGTTTTGTCCGGTTTTCTCAGCGGTCCGGTATTCTCAATGTCCCCTTCAGCTGTTCAAGATCATATAAACCGAGCAATGACTTTCAAAGGATGCTGAACGTATATTTGCATTTTCATGATTATGAGTATGTATATTGCTAAATAAAGAAATGAATATGTTTTAATTGTTTTTGTCCCTTTATTGCATATAAATACAATAAAAATTTGGATTTAAACGAACAGCAGTTACCTCATAACGATAAAGTCCGATTACACCCGCACATGTTGGGTAATGGATAATGATTTAACGAACATACATGTAGTTTACTTTGTTTATAATAATTCCCCAATTGTAAATATTGCCTATACCATATTTGTCAGATAAAGATTTTTAAAGTAGGTCTCGGCAAAGTTTTCACTTTTTTTAATTTAAATTTTAAATTTTTGTCATTTTATAGACAGCTCTCACAACTTTTTTTAATTTAAACCAAATCCTCTTTTTTGGCATTTTAAAAAAGGGAAAACATCTATCCCTTAAGAAAAAAAACCAAAAACTGAAAAATGAACATAATTAACAAAAAAAACCAACTTTGTTCCTTCCCCCTCAGGCGATTAGACACAACCAAGGGATAAGACAAAAGGGTTATTCCAAAACCCTTGGGCGCCGGTTTTGTCAGGGAATTTTGCTAAAAAATTGACTTTGTAGCCCCCCTACCCCGGGGCCAATATTCCTTTTTTTACAGTTTCCGGGTTATTGTCAATTTTTAAATTCCCAATATTTTGGAAAAAAGGGGAAAAAATTTGGGGACTAAAATTATTCTGGGGGTTTTTAGAGATTTCCTTTTTTCTCAAGGGGCCGGGTTTCTAAAATTTCACTGTATAAAGAAAAACTAAAAAACCCATATATTTAAAATCTCTACATTACTTACAAGTGAAATCTAGAGGACAAAAAAGTAAAATATACAATTATGTAGAATCTACTATAAAAAAAACATGCACTTCCTGGCAAAATAAACAAATTTGTTTAGAACAAACATAAAAGCTTAACAAACAATACACAACAACAGCATACAACATTTTCTTCCCTTTTCTTGTGTTACAACAAGTTAAACATTCATAGATTAGGCACAAAGCTATCTGTACATGTTGCTGGAACAAAAAATGTTAAACAATAGAATATACATGTATATAACCTCCCCAAGCTTTACCTTTTTCAAAATAAACCTTCATATTGAACAGTATTTTCCTGTAAGTAGTTTGGGTTATATTAAAAAATAATTCATTCACAACTCATAAAGTTATTGTGTAGATGTGTGTATTATCTTTAATAAATTTTTAACTTTTGAATAACAAAAAATATAGATAACCGTAAAAATATCCCAATAAGTTCCACAGGGAAAAAAAGGCACCTGAAAAAGGGCAAAACTTGACAACCCAAAAATAATGAATGAGGGTTTGGGGCAATCAACCTGAACAAGTTTATATATTGAGGCCGTGCAAAATTTTAACTTTTTAGTCAATGACAACCCCCTTTTAAACAAAAAGCCCTGGATTCTGACCAAAGTACATTGAAAAAATGGGGGCAAAAACACCAAATTATTTTGAAACTATTTTCTTTGAGTTTCTAAAAGAACAAAGAAAACAATGCAATTTGACTTTTAAGATATATTACATAAAGCCTTTTTTTAGCACAAATTTTTAAAGTAGGGAAAAAAATTAAAAATTTTCTACTGGGGCCCAAACCCCAGGACATCATAAAAAATTTTAAAATTTCTAAACTGACTAGCTAGCCATCCAACACACACACACACATTATCTTTTCTTTAAATCTTTATCTTCACTGTAGGGATTTAATATTTTAATTAAAGTTTTCAAACCCCAAAAAAAGAAATAGGGGGATAAAATTTTGGGTTAAACCCCACAAAAACCCTTTATTGCCCTGAAAAAAACTAGGACAAGGACAGCTACAAATAAACCCTTTGGGTTCAAAAGAAAAATTTTAAGTAAATTTCTTTTTAGCAAAACAGTTTAAGAATTAGAAGAAAATTTTTTAAACAAAACACTTCCCAAAAACCGTCCCCCTTGGGAAACAGGGGAATTTTTCAAGCATCTGACCAGACATTTCGCAAAAGAAAAAGAACAAAAAAGGGAAGTTCTGATTTTTTTTTAAATTTCGGTCCAAATTTTAAATTTTACAAAGTCCAAAACAGAAAATTAAACAATAAAAACAATTTTAACGGGACTTTCTTAGCATTTTTTTAAATTTTACAAGAAATCCCTTAAAACGAACGATTACTAACAAACAAGTTTTTCATAGGGGGGGCCCTTTTCTTTGAAAATTTTGCAAAAATAAATTCTTTAAAAATAACATGTACATGCCTTAACGGATTTTCAGGTAATTTTACCCGCACTCCAGAGCGGCCCTTTAAAATTCGTCTTTTTGGGGGGGTTTTAACATTTTGTGACGGAAAAAGAAAGGGAAAGCGACGGGAATATCATTTTCAGTGCTCGTTCATTTGGATTTTTTCCCCGGGTTTTCATATTGTGACACCCAAGGGAACGTGTTTTTTTTGACTAGATACAAAAAAAAAGGGGAACCCCAAAAACCCCGGGAAAATCGTTTTATACTCGGGGGGGCTACCCCCCCTTTAAAAATTTCAGATACCCCTGGGTTTTCGGGCCCTCTTTCAATTTTTTTTTTTGATTTTTTTTAAAAGCCCCAAGTAACGGAAAACCCTTTTGGGCCTTTTTAGTCCACAGAAAATTTATTTAAAACCTTTGGTTGGGCCAAAAAACTACTAAAAATTTTCACATAACCTCGTTTTTTGAGAAAACAAAATTTAGCCCTGAAAATTTGTTTTTTAAAAAAACATTTTAATACCTTTTTAAATTTTTAAGAAACTCATTTCTGGAGGAAGAGAAGAGCCAAACCCGGTTAATTGATGCCCTTTTCCCCCAGAACCAAACAGAAAGCATAGTGGGTTCAGTTTTTTTTCAAGTTTACTAAACGTTCCTTTTTTCTTTCCAGAAAATGAACCCAGAGCTAAAAAAAAGGGTTAAAAAAAAAAGGGACATTTCAACAGGGGTTTTTTCTGGAAAAATAAAAATTTTTCCCAATTTTTCCTTTTTTTTTTACTTTTAAAAAAGTTTCAATTTGTAAAAATTTTATTTGTAAAAATTTGAAGGGGTTACATAAAGTCCCAAAAATACCCGTTAAACCCTTTTCCATTTTAAATGCTTAATCCAAATATATCGGGTAAAAAAGAAAAGCTATATGGTTACCAAATAAAATTTTCGGGAAATAAAAAACTAGTAAAATTTTTAACAAGGTTAAACTAGGGATAACAGGACTATTTACTTTTGAAACCAAATTTAAATTTTTTAATTTCCACTTTTTTCTTCACGACCCATCCAATCACAGTTAAATGTTTTTTCAAACAAAAAAAAAAAAATTTTTAAAAAAAACTTTTTTGGGCGGAACATTTTAAGGGAATTTGGACACTAAAAATTTACACCAAAAAAAATTTACAGTAATCAGAAAAAAAAAAATAAATACGAAAGAAATTTATTCTCAATTTTTTTTCAGTAAATTTTAAAGGGGTTTTTTGGGCCAAAAAAAAAAATTTTTTTAAAAATTTTAAAGCATCCCACTACCCAATGGAAAATTTTAAATTTTACTTTAAACGCAATCAACACAAACAGGCCATATAAAACCCCCAAAAAAAACGTAAAAAAACCCATTTAACAATTTTTTAAGAATTTAAAGAACAAAAAGGTGTCCATGTTTTTTAAAATTTCAATACACTCAAAGTTTTTATAATCGTTTCCTAAACTTTTAAACGACCATGGAACACCTTTTAAAAAGAAAACTTAGAAGTGTAAAAATACTTTCCCGACATGACAATTTTAGTACGATATAAATAAAATCTGCGCCGGGACAACCAGAAGGGCTAAAAAAAAATCCCTTTGTGACAGACAACTTGGGACCCGGGAAAAGGGGGAACCCCTTTGGGCGACATCCCAAACTAAATTTTAGATTTTGTGACAAAACAATTAGTAGTGTAAAAAAAATTTTTTGGACAGCCCAATTTAGTAGGGGTAAATAAAAAAATTTTGTGACAGACAATTTAAAGACATAAAAAAATTTACTTTGGACAGACAACTTAGATGGTAAAATAAATACTTGTGACATGACAATTTAAGAAAGGGAAAAA